CGACCTGCGGGTGCTGCGTTTGGCCCCACTGCCTGCCGTCTCCACACCCAGCGGCAGGGACTTACCCAGCTTCAGCTTCGACTTCTGGGATGAATGGAAAAGCATCTCAGCGTGGGGACATCCAAGGGTGCCCCTTCCCTTTCCCCGGTTCCCCGAACCGCTTGTCTGTCCTCAGCCTGGGGCTGGGTTTGCTCCGAGCAGCAGGGAGGGGACCCATCACCGTTTTCTCAGGCCAAGGGACAGGTCCCGGTCCCCCCTTCCCACCCCGGCTCACCTTGTGAGGTCAGGTGGGGGGCTGCTGCTGCGGGAGTGAGGCCGCAGGTCGGGCAGGGGCTGCCCCTGGCTCTCTGCCCGCAGGCAGGCCTGGTAGAGTGGGGATTTCACAAAGCGCGTGTAGCTGTCGAACTTCATCAGGTTAAAGATCTGCAAAGGGAGGATGCATGTGCCTAAAACCCCTGCCCACCTACAGCTCAGTCTGGCCACTGCCCCGTGACACGGCCCCACGGCGACAGCAGCGATGCTGAGTGATGCGCGGGGTGGTCCCGCAGCCTCCGTCCTGTGGGTGGGGTGGAGCACGGGTGCTGCTCGTACCTGGAGCTGCTGGATGCGAAACATGTCTGGGGAGGGGGTGGCCAGCATGCCCTCCCCAATCCAGGCCTGCTTGTCGATGTTCACAGGACTGACTGAGTGGCTGGAGAGGAACTCATCGTAGATTCGCCGTGCCTCCTGGGCCAGCTGGGGGAGTGGGGGGGTTAGGCCGGGACCAGAAGCCCCCTCCTCACTGCTACCCTGCGGGGAGCCCCTGGCTCACCCCACGGAGCCACCTGAGCCCTGAGGGGCCAAATGGCCCCTGGGACCAGCTCGATGGGCATCAGAGCCAGCTGCCTCCACCCAACACCAAGCTCTGGGCACAAGATGCCGGTCTCTCTGTGGAGGTGCAGCCCAAGGTAGGAACTGTCCCCCCGCAGCTGCATGGCTCTGTCCCCACAAGTCCCCGTCTAGCTCTCTGCCCTTGCTCTCTTGTCCTCCCAGCAGCACTCTCCACCCTCTGGCCACCCTGGGCTGGAGAAGCATGTCCTGCACCATGGGTCAGGCAGTCCCGGCTGTGGCTTTTCAGATGCACATCACATCCATATCCTTATCACTCCCACAAGACACCCCAGCCAGCTCAGCCTCCCAGAACAGGGGTCTGCCAGGACCCTGGGACATGCAGGCACGACAGCCACCTCTACCTCTGCCCACGTCCCTCCCAGCACCTGTGTGACCCAGGCTCAGCCACACCATGGCTGCATGGAGGCCGGTACCTGCTGCGTGTCACTGGCCGGGATCTGCTGGAAGCGCTCGCATGCCTGCCAGAAGTAAACGTTTTCGGCGCTGAACTCCTTCTTGAGGAACTCCTGCGGGGCAGAGAGAGCTGCTGGCCTGGCCGGCACCGTGGCTGTGGGATGGCCAGTTGCCAACAGCGGATGGGAGCAGGGACCAAGGTCTGGGCTGTGGCACTCACAGTGAAGTAGGTGACGGCCACGCGGTCCTGCAGCAGCGTCTCGAAGGATTCAGCCCAGCTGACCACAGACCCCTGTGTGGAGCCGCAGGTGGCCGGCGGTCCCGGCAGGCTGTTCACGCTGTGGTTGCTGCCACGGGCCCTGGAGGCATTTAACTCTGAGAGAGAAAAAGGGTCAGTTCTGGCTGCCTGGGTGTCACCGAGCATCATCCCCCTGTCACCAGCAGCCCCCCATATCTGCACCAAGTTCATCCGCTCCATCCCGATCGGACCCGGCGAGCCCTCAGGTAGGGAACTCGAGGAGCATCACAGCAGCATTCTGAGCAGATTGAGTGCCGCGCCTGGCACCTTCCAGCACGACAGGCCTCCCTGCCGGCGCTGGCTGTCCTCCCCAGGGAGGGCGTGGGGAAGGCACCCAGCCAGCGAGGGAAAGCAGGGTGGAAGGGGACACGGGGGGCACACGGCATGGAGGGAAGCTCGGAGGATGGGTAGAGGTGCCTGAACTTACCTTCTCTGCTCCTCTGGCCATGACGAGGAACAAACCCAGCGAGAGGAGGGCACAGAAAGTGTCATCCCTAGCTCCCAACCCCAAGGAAACCCTTGCTTGGGAAAACGCAAGGTGACCATGCATTCAAATGGAGTCCCTCTGTCAAAAAGACGGAAGTTCCCAGGGGCAACTCCAGCTTTTGAACTGGTTTGGCTGGTGAGCAACTGGGAGCAGAGGGCCATTTGCAAGAGAAGGTGAAGGTATGCAAGCAGGGCTCTCCCGGCAAAGCCAGCAGGAACAGAGGAGGTGGCAGGTTGCTGCTTTGCCAGGCTCCCCACCCTTCTCCTCCTGTCCAAAACATGGGGTAACTCTGCACACCCTGTGTATGCAGGTGGGAAGAGCAGCCACCGGCACCCCATGCTGGAAGGATCCTGCAGCAGGGCCGAGACGGGCGAATGGGCCATCTGAGATATCCAATGCACAATGAGAGACAGACAGACAGACTCCCTCAGGGAACCTGGGGCTGGCTGGTACCCAGGTTCTGCTTGCCCTGGGAAGCCTCTCAGCCCCCAGCACTCAAGGGTGCCAGCTGAGCAGCCAGAAGGGAGGGACAGGCGACATGGGGCCGTGCGGGAGGGATGGGGGGATATGGGGAGTCCCTGGCAAAGGGCTTAGCCCGGCACTGTGGGGGACCGGCCATGCACCCGCCCACAGCACAGCCTGTGCTGACACAGGACCTGGCTCTCTGCTGGCTCCTTGCCCCTGGCACCAGGCTGACTGTGGGCTTCCCCCTCCCCTGAAGACGATGCCGGCCTCCCGTCCCAGAGCAAAGAACAGCCTTACCTCCATCAGACACAGCTGGGCCCTGCGGGGGTGGAGAGAAGAGAGGTGAGAGGGGGCACATGGCATCTGCCAGCCCAGTGGAGCGGTACCTGGGCAGGCAGCAGCTTCAGGGCAAGCCCAGTCCAAACCCAGGAGCTACGGACACGGGCTGCCAGCAAACAGCTGCTCTGGTGTTAACTGCAACCAGGATGGCTGCCCCACGGCTGGGGCAAGGACACGGGGCTCCCAGCCCAGGGGCAGCGAGCAGGGGTGGGGGGCGTTACAAGGGGTGCGCAGCTTTTCTCCCACCTCCCGTGCATCTACTGCCCTGGGGCCAGGCCGGCAATTGGGAAAGGGCAGATGCTATCAGATGTAACCCTGCCACTGCAGCCTGGGGAGGAGAGAAGCAGCCTCCCCGGCACAGGAAGAGGAGGGGAGGCGGGGAGGGAAGGAAGGACAACCACAGCCCTAGGCAGGCAAACTGCCTGCTCCCTCCTTCCTTGGGGCCTGGGGCTACTGGAGAGCAGATGCCCAAAACTGGGGACCAGGTCCTGCCAGAGCTGCCAGCCCAGGGCACAGCAGGACAGGGTGCCCCGCAGCATCCCCTGGGCCGCCCCAGATACCTGCCGCGGGGAGGTGGTACCCCAGGACCCCCAGCAAGCA